TCTTTCATAAAAAAAAAAAAAAAAAAAAAAAAAAAAAATCAAATTAGACACTTCTGCTATTTGAAAAAAAAAAAAAAAAAAAAAAAAAAAAAAAATGACAGAAAACATTTAAAAATCATACACAAAAAAAAAAAAAAAAAAAAAAAAAAAAAAAAGAACCACCAACATTCAATAATATGAAAAAAAAAAAAAAAAAAAAAAAAAAAAAAAGGCCGGGGCACGGTGGCTCACGCCTGTAAAAAAAAAAAAAAAAAAAAAAAAAAAAAGCGGATCACAAGGTCAGGAATAGCTGGGACTACAGGTGGCCCTGCCCACCACATCCGGCTTAATTTTTTTGGTATTTTAGTTAGAACGGAGGGGTTTCAAACATGTTAGCCCAAGGGTGTCTCGATTTCCTGACCTTGTGATACGCCCGCCTCGGCCTTCCCAAAGTGCTGGGATTACAGGCGTTGAGCCCACGTGCCCCGGCCTATTGCCCACTTTTAAATGGGTTTTGTTTTTCTATTATTGAATGTGGTGGTTCCTTTATTGGTATTCTGGATACAAAGCGGGTTCTTACCAGTTGTATGATTTTAATTGTTTTCTGTCATTTTATCTTTTTCGGTCTTTTAAACAGTGTTAGTTTCAAATAGCGAAGTGGTTCTAATTTGAATGAAAGGCTAGGTTTTACCAGTTTTTCTTTTTATGAAAGGATTTGCTGCTTTTTTGGTATTTATTTAAGACATTTTCCCCTAACTCAGGTAACAAATATTTTTTCTGAGGCTTTCCTGTAGGAGGTTTTCATATTTACTTTTACACTTAGGTTTATTATTCTATCAAGTTAATTTTATGTATGGTGTAAAGATATCAGATTTTTTGTTTTGGTTTGGTATATGGCCATGTGATTTCTGGGTGCACCATCATTTGTTAAGATTAGTTTTTCCTCATTGAATTGGCTTTTGGCACTTTTTACAAAAAAATTTAATTGGACTATATGTGCTGCTCTCCGGACTGTTGTATTGATTATTGTCGTAGTTGTTCAATTATTGGCATTTCGCTGAAGTCAGGTAGTGTGAATCTTTCCAACTTTGTTCTTCTTTTTCAAAGTTTGTCTTGGCTATTTGTAGATCTTTTGCATTTTCATACAATTTTTGGAATCAGCTTGTCAACTAGGGAAAAAAACCTGCTGGGATTTGATTTGTTATTCATTGACTCTGGCAC